GGGGGGGGGGATCAATGAAATAGGAAACAGAAAAATAGAAAATATCTAAGAAACCAAAAGTTCTTCAGGGGGAAAAATCAACAAAATTGATAAACCTTTGGCTGACTGGCTAAGAGAAAAAGCTGACATGGAATATCAAAATCCGGGATGGGAGAGGGCTTATCACTACCAACTCTACTGAAACTAAAAGAAGTGTAAGAGCTTTAAGTCAACAGCTTAGTTTAGATGAACAAATTCCTCAAAACCCACAAACTACCAAGACTAAAGAGAAAATCTGAATTAAATTAAACTTATTACTTAAAAATCTGCACGCATGCACACACAAGCCCAAGTTATACTGCTTCACCTAGTGATCTATCCAGTATTTAAAGAAGAAATAATACCAATTCTCTACAAATTCCTTCAGAAAATAGAGGCAGGGGAACACTTTCCAACTCACTCTGAGGCCAGCATTACCCTTTTATCAAAGCAAGACAAAGTTATCAGAAGAAAACTAGAGGCCAGTATCCTTCGTGAGCATACACATGAAAATCCCTAACACAATATTAGCAAACAGAATCTAGTAACACATAAAAAAGATTAAACACCACCATGAAGAATATGTCCTAAAACATGGGAGCACACACAGATTCTTTAAATAAGGAGAGTGTTTCAGATGGAAAAGTATTTCAGGATATAGAATCAAATGTTAGATAAATTTGGCTAAGTGCTTTCTTGGTGTCATTGTTTGGTGTAATGCATTTCATTAAATTCGGGGTGGGGGGGAAATCCCCAAAACCGGTTGTTTGCTTCAGTAAGAATGAAAACTCAAGCCGTTTGCATTAAATTTTCAATGTCACTATTGTCATCTCACCTCATATCCTGATGTTTCCCAAATTGTGAAATACTGTTGCTCACTTTGCTACCTCCCATCACTATGTAAGGAACTTAGTTATTTAATGGAATATCAAATTCTTTTAAAATAAATCACTTTAGGGGAAAAAAGAAGACTGTGAAACCATAAGAGACAGAAAAAGTCCCTGGATGTCATAGGAGATATGAGCTAACACAAATGTCAACTAAAAAATTTATGCTAATATGTTAAATAATGAAACCGGGACACAGCTACATATTTTATGGCAATCCTTACAAACCCTCTTTTTTACTAAATGAAAGCGAGGGTCAAAATTTTGAGAAGATACTTCCAGGAAAAGTACACCTAGCTATAGAAAGCCTCATTAAACACAGCCAGTTTCAAAAATGAAACTTGGCTGATCATCCATACAAATCATCAAAGTTTACATTTTTCTTCTGGATGAATTTCAAACACAATGTCAATACAACATTTCTATATTATGAGTTACAAAATAATTCATAACAATTCCATAGACCATATGCAAGTTTATTTAAATAATTTAACACTGCACAGAGAGCTAATTTATAAGTATAAAAATAGATGGTTTAGCAACCAAATATAAACGCCACACGGAAACAGATTACACGGACACCATCAGGCCTTTGGAAGATGAAGGCGACATTAATCTCTCAAGTAATTTTATGAGAATACTTTACTCATATAATAGATGTTATTAAAACATCTCAAAATAGACTCCCACAAATTTTTCAGTATGAAGTCTTCCCTTCCAGTTTTTTTGGTCAATATATTCTTCTTAAATACTGTACAACAACTAGTCCAGATTGACAAAGGGGCTATCAAAGCCACTGTCCTGTTGGCTAGGCAGAGGAGCCATCGGTTTTCTCGAAGGCTGCAGATGCACTGCAGATGGCTCTGAGCTGCTCGGTTTTTTGAAATCTGACGTTAACATCTCAGCCTTACGATGAGCTGGGTGTCCCAGGGCCACCTTCCCCGGCTGGGAATACACGGTTTCTTCTGACAGGTCTGCAGCGTGACCACTCCGACATTTCATCGGCTGACAATTCTTACTGTTTTTATCGGAAAGACAACCAGCTGCTAAAAACTGTTGGCAGTGGCCAGCCTCGGCGAGCGCATCCAGAGCTTCTCGTGGCCCTCCATGTAGAAATGAGCCTTCGTGACCGCGGTAGGGGAGGGTGGCACTGTTGGAATAGGAGCTCAGGGAGTCGCCAAGGTCCCCTCCGTCCCTGACAGGTGCGTCCTCCACGCCCAGGCAGCCTGTGGCCCCGGACCCGGCGTTCCCGCGGCCCGCGGGCGGGACACCCCTATACACCGTGACCCCAGGTCTTCCGTTAGGACCTCGCCAAGTTATGGGTGTGGATCCGGACTCCGAGGGACAGGGGCCGTGTCTGGGCGAGGATTTCTTTCCGAAGCTTCCAAGAAAGGGGTACTCGGCTGGAGGCAGACAGGATCCCGGGCCTGCGTCACTGGCCAGGTCCTTCCTCCTGTGGGAGCCAGAGCCCCCCCTGCCTTCATAGGGCACAAACTCCGGAGAAACAGTCCTTGGCAAAATGTCTAGGTGCTTGTGGCTGCTGTCCCCAAACTGAAAGTCTGACTGCGACCCTTTGGGACCCACGAGCTTTAGGTCCCCACGCTCCGAGGCCTCCAAGCGGCTCCGTAAGTCACAAGCAGCCCTCCTCCTAGGGACTTGGTCGCCCGAACTTTTGGGGGGAGTTTTCATACCGTTCGAGCTGCTTTCACTGTGACACGGTACATCCTGGTTCACGTCACTGCTTTTTGATTTTTCAACACCAATCTTCTCTGAAGTCAGGGGCAGTACTACAATATACAAGGGAACACAAAATTAGGGGAACAGAAAATTAGGAGAAAATTAACACGGAAAGGGAAGGGGAAAAAAATTACATTTTTATGTAATTCCCAAAGAAGGCATATTTACTTTAATCAGCCTCAAAATATATCAATGCTGAACATTTTAAAATAATCTTTGACACATATCCACTAGATCAAGTCGGGTAATTTTGTTATTGAAATCTGATGCATTATTATTGCTAGCTGCCTGATCCATTATTTTCTGATACAGGTGTTACAGCATTTTAAGAGACAACTGGAACATTTCTAATCCTGTTCTCATGTCAAATACGGAGTTTCTGATGAAGGAAGTTTACTGGAGGACAAGTACCCCACTACCCAACACTTATGCCCACACACAGTACAAGCTAATCGGAGTCTCTGATTTAATTAGCTGACATTACAAATGACCGGAGGCAAAGCAGCCACAGGGCATAGAATCAGGGGCTTCGTATCTTGCAATAGTGCAGCTTGGTCCCCCAGCCCATGAAAAGGGTTTGCTTCTACTGGGAACACTGTTTGTACACGATTGCTCCGAATCTAGAAAACTCTTTCCTTGTTATATGCCACTGTCCCCTTCTACCCAAGGTTCCCATTCCCATTCCAAAGTTTCCACAGATAATCTTTGGGATCTGAAGAATGTTTACTAGTTTCAGACTCATAGGTTCCTAACCAATCTCTGCCTGAAGCTTCCCAGAGTCCAAATATCCCATTTCCCCACAGATATGTTCAAAATCCCCCTGTGGAGAGTTTGCCAATATTTTCATAAGCTTTTGTTTTATATATTATAAAGTACTTTTTTTCCTCCCCTATATAGAAAAAGAAACCATTTATATAGCTTCTTGGGAGGCAGTTCCTTTATCATGAACTTCGGTCCTTTTTAATGCTAACTCTGTAATTTACCTAATATTGTATTAACTCTATAATTTATCTGATATCAACACTGCATTTGCCAAGTATGGCATCCTCCACTCCTTTATTTTGAATTTTAAATGTTTTTCCTGTAAAAATAATGTATGTCTGGATTTTTAAAAATCTGTTTGAAAGCTGTGATCTCTTAATAAGTGAGTTTAAGCTTTTCACATTTCGTGTGATTCCTGGTATTTCAACCAATCATTGTTTTCTACTTACCCATGCTTTCTAAGTGTATTTTTCCTCTTTCTTGATTCCGTTAGATTGAAACCCTTTTCTTCCAAGTTTTTCCCCACCGGTTTGAAAGTTACGTACTCTATTCCTATTTCCCTGTGGTTATCCTTAAATTTCAATCCGCATACTTAAACCTGTATTTCTCTAGCAATGGCTAGACTGATCAGTATCTATACACTCTCCTTGAAAATAGTAAAAATCTTGACATACGGTTAGTTTCCTCTACAATATTCTCTTACATTTTTCTGAGAATACTATACTTTTCTAACATGCTCAGGTCTTGCTGTTTGTTCTATGAACTCCATTTCCTTAGGTGTGAGTTCTGTGTTTGTTTTGAGTTTGGTGTCTTTTTCCATGGTGCTGGCTTTCTATAAATATATAACGGTTCTAGGTTGAATGCTTATCTTTTAGATGCCCTGAATGCGCTATCTCTTTGTGCTGTTTGTTTAAAGGAGTTGGGAATGGAGTGGGGAGAAACGAGCTGCAGGACAGAAAGACCTAAAAGCAGGTACTCTGGCCCTGGCCAGGTGGCTCTGTTGGAGTGTCATCCCGTAGGCCAAAAGGTTGCAGGTTCGATCCCCAGTCAGGGTGTGTATGGGAGGCAACCAATCGATGTTTCTCTCTCTCTTTCTCTCTTCCTTCCTCTCTCTCTAAAATCAGTAAATATATCCTCAAGTGAGGATGTTTCTATCTCTCTCTCTCCCTCTCTCTGAAATCAATAAAGATATATTTTTTTTTAAAAAGCTGGCACTCTGGGCATGTGGCTCCCAGCTGCGCCTCGGTGTGGCTGGCCACCAGGAGCTCCGCCCAGGTTCCAGGCCCTTTGTTCCTGTTGCTCTCACCCAGCCCGATATTGGGGTTGAGAAAAGGAGAGAAAGAGAAATAAAGAGGGGGACCCTACCTGGTTGCTGCTGTTCTGGAACACCAACTAATTATCCTATAGGCATCCCCCAGGCTCCCTTCTCCTGTAACGTACACCTTCACATGGGCAACAGCTTTGAGATCGCTCGCTTGTGGCTTCACCTTCCGGCAGTCCTGACGGAGGTTCCCATCTTCAATCTTATTCTGTCTTCTTTCTATCAGGATTTCTCATGGCTTCTGGTCTATCAATTATAACTTTTCTAAGCCCGGTTATAATTTCTTCCTTTCTCCTCTTATAGCTGTTGTTTATAATCTTTTCTGGCATTTCTAGGGATGGAAGCAGCAACCGAAAGCTCCCTCGGCCTACCTGAACTGGAAACGACACTCTTTTTTGTACATTTCCAGTTTAAGTGAAAAAACACACAGGAGTTAATAAATTACCTCTCACTCCCTACATTTCCTGCTCTTTTTCATTCTAAAAATGTTAAATATCTTTTTTTAAAAAACCCAAAAAGACACAAGGAGAGAAAGCCCCTTCAGGTGGCTCGTGCTGACATACCTGACTCCGTAGTTTTGCTCTGGGATCGATTAGCAACAGGCGTTTCCAGCAATTTCGCCATTGTAGCAAGCTTGCTAGCAGCGTTCATAATCCTTTTCTCAGCTCTGTGGGAATTCCAGAATATTAAATGAATTTAGTTTAAAGGAAAAAATGAGTTTCCTCTGCCCCAGGATTTCTGTTTTCCTAGTAGCTCTGCCAACTTAGGGGAGCACAGCCTTCAGGCCTCTCTCAGCCCCCAGCGGCTGGCCAGGTAGAGACAGCGAACAGCGTGACGAAGGGAAATGCTCAGAAAACGACAGCATGCCCAGACGGTACTCTAGGGACACAGTGTTTAGACCAAACTTACCCCTCCTGTTTCCCATTGTCCTGCAAGATCTGCTGGAGGCAAGTCAGATAGTAGGCGCGCATCTTGCGGGTGGTTTCCTGGCGCTCTCGCAGCACCTCTGCCTTGACCATCTCCGCAGCTCTCTCCTTGCTCTCCCGGATGTAACGGAGCATGTCACCTGGCGGGCAGGGGGGCGAGGGGGCGGGGGACCCCAAGGACGCACGGTTATTACCACTTCTTCAAAAACAGGAGAGGCAGGCTTCAGACCAATTTTCTAAGAGATGAATTGGTTACAGGTATAATTTAAACACCACACTTTTCCACAGTCTTTGAAATGGAATATTTCAGATCACTATTTTGGGAGACTCAAAGGAAAAGGAATCTAAAGGTCCTTTTAGAATGACGGCAGCCAGATATGGTAAGGAAACAGAGCCTATTCCCTGGGGAAATTCCGTCATATTGTGAAACACCGAGGTGAGAAAAACATAAATAAATACAGGGTGGGGTAAGAGCACGCTTACAGTTGTTTGTATGGGAAATACAGTAATTAAGAAATAATAATACAAGAATAAACCTTCACATACTTCCAGCTGTAAACCTACCTTTGCCCCACCCTGTACGAGGCACAGAAATGTTTTAGTTATTTATTATGTCCACTTAAAAGAGAAAAAAGAAATATGCAGAAAAGGAGGAGCCAGAAAGGAAGAGAGAGCAGATCCAGAAAGACAGGAGGCCACAGGTGCTGAAGAGGCTCATATTCTTCTGCCTACTTGTGCTCTGGAAATCCATGTCTCATTATTTATTCAATTCTTTCAGCACCACTTATGAGCATCCAACTAAATGTAACCTTACCATCCATGAGAGAGATAGATGTACAAAATGCTGCTACTGCAGGGAAAGGAATGGGACTTAGGTTGCCTTCTAAAATTCACGTTTAAAATAGTTCACAAGCTTTCAAAATCTCTTTTTATCTTTAACTCAGTATGCCTTGGTTGGCACTACCATTAGCTACGGTTGACATTTTTTTTACCACGTCCAGGCCTACAGGCTACATCTACAATATCGCCATCCCTGTTATATTAAGGATTCCAATTCATAAAGGAAACTCCCTCTTAATATCAGTAAGCTTTCCCTTAAAATCAGATGTTCTCTGCAAAAATATGGGAAGTGGGGAAAAATTAAAATGAAGTACAAGTCAACACAAAATCTCCAAACAACTTCTAAAATGTAAAACCACACACACACACACACACACACAACCCAAACAAGTTATCATATTAGGATGGAAAAATGCTTAAAACTTCACTTGCCACCCTAGCTGGTATGACTCAGTGGTTAGAACGTTGGCCTGCGGACCGAAAGGTGGCAGGTGTGATTCCCTGTCAAGGGCACATCCTTGGGTTGCAGGTCCAACCCCCAGCCCTGGTCTGGGCACGTGTAGGAGGCAACCAATCGATGTGTCTCTGTTACATAGATGTTTTTTCTCTCTCTCTCCATGTCCTTTCTCCTTTCCACTCTCTCTAAAAATCAATGGAGAAAATATCATCCAGTGAGGATTACAAAAAAAAAAAAATTCACTTCCCAATTAATATGATTGCTAACAAAAATTGCCCTGTTTGTAGTAATAGGGCCTCTGTTAGCACAAGCAACACCTGAGAAGCAAATCCTCTTCATTGATACTAAATGGGCTTCTCAAACATCTACACATGATTCCGATGATCTACCAATTATATTTGGGACCTAAGACCTGCTCTGCTTGTTTTGTTAGAAATAAATGCAATTTTAGGAGGTAAATATACATTTCTTCTATATAAACGTTGGTTATTGTTCTGGGACATAAATATATTCTATGCAATATTGTCGTTAAAAACCAGGAGGCAATCTACTGGGAAAGCATAACCAAAGAAATGCCCTGCAGGGTGTGCTACACCACCAAGTACTGCAGAGGACTTGATAAACAAATTTATGTCCATGATTTAAACCAATATCAAAATAATGAGAAACAAGAGAATGACTCCTAACTAGATCCATTTTCCATGGTCCTTAAAAGTTTATGGTAGGGAAAAAAAAATAACTGCTAATTTAAAACTTATGTGACAGTTTCTTTGCTACCAGTTAAGTTATAAAATTATAAAATTTTTAGTTTAATATTAATGTCCTAAAAAGAAACAGGATAATCAACAATATAAAAATAACTCTATCCTCATGTCACTTCCAAAAGATAGTACTTGAGCAAAATGATCCACTACTGTTTAATTAGGAATGGTATCAGTGGTAAGAGCCTAGAACAAAGTAGTTTGAAAAATCCCCACAAATTACTACCGCTAGTAAGAAAAAAGTCCCAAACCACCTGAAAATCTTGGGAATCTATCTCGTTAGGGACTTACGCTTGATTTTTTTCACTGCTTTAATGTACTGCCCACGAAGTTCCTCCAAGGCCTCCTGGGTGTACGGCAGACAAGCATTTTCAATGGCCCCTTCTGACAAGGACCTAAAAACAAACGACAGATTGAAAAAACACAGACTGTAAGTGAAAAACTTCATTTGGAAAAAAATCTATCTATATATTCCAATAAAATAAACTGAAATGTGCTTAAAAATTCACATATGAGAATCTATGCAGCTGCTGAAAAGCATATTATAGGATATCTGATGAGATGGGGAAATGTTTATCTTAAAATGTTACTAAAAGGTCACAAAAAGCTTATATAATATTCTCAATTTTTAAAACATGTGCACATGGTGTGTGTATATAAAGGAGCTTAAATAATATAAAACAACCCATTGACCGAGGGTATCCTAGGGATAGGACTTTGGAAGATTTTCTTCTTTTTTATACTTTATGCCATACAGTCATGCACCACTTAATGATCGGGATACGTTCTGGAAAATGTGTCACTGAGCTGTTTCATCACGGTGCGAACATCACGGAGCGCTTACGCAAACCTGGACGGCACGGCCTACTCCACACCTGGCTACATGGTATAGATAGACTATGGCTCCTAGGCCAGAAGCCTGGTCACATGTGATTGCACAAAACAGCATGAGGTTAAATCAAGCACAAGACCAAATGACAGTCAAGAAACATGGTAAACATAAGCCAGTAACACAGTTATTATCATCATCAATATTATGCACTGTACGTAACTGCAGGTGTCACACTTTCGTATGGCTCAGCAGGTTGGTTTACACCAGCATCTCCACAAACACTGAATAACGTGTTGCATTTCCACAGCTACGGAGTCACTAGGAACAGGAATTTTTCAGCTCCAGTCATACGCGAAGTCCCATCATTAACCAAATCGTTATTTGGCACAGCACTACGTAACAATAACAATAACTGATCTCCTTGGTATAATATTATTGACATGACTGATATAACAAATTTAAAGATGCTTAGAAATAAGCAATTTCCAGTGAAAGTATACCTTGGTGGCATGTTACAAAGTGTTCTCAGTTCTTCCAATTTACTCTTCATGTCATTGTTTTCTTCTATTAATTCTTCAACAACTTTACTATTCTCTTCTAAAAAAACAAATTTATAGTATATTGATCAATTAATCTCTTTTCTTTTTCTCAGCCTCCCGTTCTCTTAAGTCCCAGCCCAAATGTTTATAGAGGAAACTGCAGAATTTCCCGTTGCTCCCCGTGTCATTCATTCCCTGATGAACCCTAATCTGACCACTCTGTCTTCTCAGCACTTAAAATCTGTATTGCATGTTCGTCTTGCTTTGGGTTACACACTGTTCTGGAGTGGTTCCCAATTGTTTCATAGGCATGGGTTTCGTTTTCCAACTAGACTGAAGCTCTGGACAAACTCCTAGGTTTTCTAATTCCCGGTTCCCCGTGGATCCTGGTGCAGGGTCTAATGACCACTGAACAAGCACCTCAATACAAAAGTATTTTAAAATTAAGCTTAAGCAGGTGCCATTTTCAAAATTAAGGTAAGATTTTCAATTCCTTGAACTTTTAAAAAAGCAGATGAGACTGACGGAGGCCATGACTTTCAGAAACGTGTATTTAAATGCTAGCTCTGCTTCTTTCCAGTTGGATGAGCTTAGGCAAATTACTTAAACTATCTGAACCTGAGTTTTTCATATGAAAAATGGGATAGTATTACCTACTTTGAAGGTTATAATAGAGATAAAGCAATAAATGCACGGCACTTTATAAAAGGCCTGGCAATACCACTGTTGGGTAAGTATGAACGTGGCACCTCATGTTTCCTACTCTCAACCCTCTCAATACTCCCCACTAATGGGGGAATGACTCACTCTCTTACCCCTAGTGATTGATGTTAACTTCTATATTTTTAAACCACTCACATTTACTCTATCACTTTCCAATAAGTGCCACCAAGACAGTGGAAAGGCAATTTCGGAAACAAAGGGAAGCAACCACAATAGTAAAAATATTATCAACAGATTTACATTAAGACAAACACTAAAATTAAACTATCGAATGCCTTTAATTCTGACCCTGACCCCTTTTAGTAGCCCACTGTTTTGAGCTAAGTGCCACTTTCTTGGATTATTTCTAAGTCCACAAATTACAGAAGATATCAGCCTCAAAAAGCACTATGTAGAATCACAAATTTATGATCACAAGGAATGGTGCTAAACATTACTTATAAATAAAAATCACATCCAACTGCCCCTGTCATTTTATTATATAAAACAGATATTTTTGGTTTTCACCTAATTTTACATTATATCGACATCTACAGTTGGACAAATGAACTAAATAGTTAAGCAATCACTGTGGGAAGTGTAATTGTGTAAAGTTTTTTTCTCAAAATTCCTAAAACCCTTTTTGCCTTAAAGTAATTATCATCTATCTTTATCAGACTTAGCAAGCAGAGGGTGGAAGAAGAACAGCTTCTCTTAGTCAACAGTGTTTACGGACTGCTATGGCGCCAGATACTACGCTAAGTGCAGGGACAGGACTCGGTCCCTGTCACCATCAAGTCTAACTCCAAAGGAGAAGACAGATGACCAATAACTGCAAGGATGATGAATGTTATAAAAATCACAGGCGGGGGGAATATCTGACAGAAGAACCTAATCAAGCCTGGGGTGGCTGGAATTACCTCCCTGAGAAAGTCACTCATCGAGGGACAGATGTAGAGAAGTTAGCCAGGCAATGTGGACAGGATGAGAGGACAGATGTTCCGGTAAAGTGAGAGAATGCAAAGAGGACCACAGAAAAGAGACCGTGAAATCCGAGCCAGGGCTCTGTGAGCAGGAGAGAGGGCTGGGGAAAGATAGGCCACAGGGGCTGGGTCATGAAGGGTTTTTCAGACTCTGCTGAATTAAGTATTTGTATTTCACATTGAGGACCACATCTAGCCCCTGAAGGGCTTTAATGAGAGTGTGATGATCCAATTTACTTTTTTTAAAAGGTTGCTCTAGCTGCCTGATAGAGAATTAGATGGGAAGGGCAAGACTGAAAGTAGAAAGACTCAGCAAGTGACAGGCAAGCATTAGAGGTGAAAAAAGTAAACCTATCCACCTGGTCTTTTGTGGATGATGCAATTATTTGGGACCATGGATTCAGTCCTTCATTCATTCAGACAACTACTATTGTCTGCTATATAGTGGGCACCATACCCACAAGGGTGAACAAAGACAAAACGTTCCTTATCCTCAGGGAACTTACAGGTTGGAAAGGGCACCAGGCAAGTAACCACAAAATTAAATGCAGAATGGTAATGAAGGAGGAGCCAAGGGCTATCGGGCCACACAGGAGGAAAATCCAGGAGGGCTCTGTGGATAAGGCCTCTTCTCAGCTGAGTCTTAAAGCATGTGGAAGAGTTAGGCCAAAAGGAATGAGTGGATACGTCATGGGACAGAGTGACAACATCGTACATAAGATCCAGCAGTAAAAGGAAACACCTGACCAGCTCAGGAACCTGAGCTATTTCAAATGTAGAGAGTACAGAGCACGGGATGCAGTGAAGAGCGAAGGTAAGAGGGTGCGTCCTCACAGCTTCCCTTCCTACCAGGGCAACGGAAAGTTTTAATAATTTCCCTGGAAACACGGTGAAAAAGGCACCAGGAGGAGGCCAGGTCAGACCCACACAGCTTCGTTCATGTCTTTCCCCTCTGCCTAGAATGCTGTTCTCTTTGGCAAAGACTTTCATCTTCCAAGGCTTAGTCAAGCCTTCCTTCGCTCTAACAGGGGGAAGAGTTAATTAACATCTTTTCTTCCAAGTTTACAGGGGCACACGGCCAGCAGCGCTCAGTGATGCAATTATTAATCTGCCTTCAGTTCTCCTCACTTGATAGGAAGCTTCTGGAAGGAAAAGAACAGTCTTGCGCATCTCCATCTAAACTGGAATTTTGTCTGACGCATTGACTTCGGTATCCCCGGGGCCTACGATGCCGCCCGACACACACTGAGCACTCAGCAGCTGCTCAACCAGAAAGGGGAGAGAGGAACGCGGCCTTCTCATCAGAGCTCCAATTTTCCTCTTCTGAGTTCAGTAATAATTTGGTTAGTGAAAATAAGGCCCAAATTAGTTTACACTAACCCCCAAGGAGGATCGGTGCCTACATCAGCTAAAACGTCACATCCGAACATTTCCACTAGGATCAGAGAGATTTATGCTGGGAGCGGGGCTACCTCCAATGCTAACCTCCGATTTTTTCCACCACAGCTTTGTGCTTCCTTTCTAAGTGCTGAAGATGCCTACAGCATTTCTCCAGTTTTCGTTTCAGATCTTGACATTCCTGCTTTGCCTTTTCGAGTTCTTGGAAGCCGTGTCCACAGCATGAATCTTTAAGTTCAGGGATCTTTTCCTCATCTGTAAAAATTAAATGGTAGCAAACATTTATATTGATTTAGACTAAGGGAGGGAGCGAGGG